GTGATATTTGAATGAACTAAATGTAATATTCCGACATTTCGTAGAATAGAATTTAAATTATGTATGTTATAATTTAATATTTTGAAAGTTTAGGGACTAAAGTGTATATAAAGTAAATTTAAATTTAATTTGGGTTAAAATGTAGATATTGACGGAGTGACAATAAGTATATGAATATCGGACTCGTTGGGTAGATCGTAATTAATCATGCATATTAGGCTCAAGAAAAATTTGATTCGGATAATCTAAGCCTAAGATATTGACGTTTAAAGAAATTGATACTGTATAATATTTTATTAAATTGGTTTGTGTCATTAAGTCGGCCACTTGTGTTCACAATAAAATTGATTTGAATTTATATATTATATAACTCTCCATTTCCAACATATAAACTAATCCAGATACTGTAACTCCCCACCTCTATGGCCACGTTTCGCGTCCATAAAGAAAGAAAAGGTAAACTGCTCACCCTATATTATTCTGATACCTAAAAGGTGGTCATGACTTTATCATCTTGTGGCACGCGTTTCCACTTTAACCACACACTCCTATATACTATATACACACACGTACTCAGCAGATTCATTTGGGTATTTGTTTTCATCGTAAATAATATACAAAAATGGTCCCATAATTTTCACCACGGCCAAGAAAAATTAGAAGATCAGGAACGTGATTTTGGAGTTCATCTTTCAAAACTTTATTCAACTTTACGAGGTAGGATATGAGGTGCAGTATTTTTTTATTTCCCGTTTAATTATTTTGGCTACATGTTGACGAATTTCATACTTATGAAAGTTAAAGTTATGATATGAATGATATGGTCATTTCGGTACAATGAAATGAAATGATATGATATGATGTGAGCTCTTACCGGATTTAAAGTTATGCGACGGTATGGTATTTTGACACTTGTGTTAAAATTATTTTTCGGGATCGCACCATTAATCTGATATCCTACTGAGTATTCCCACGTACTCACCCCTTTTTCCCTGCCTTACAGGTTAATTCGGGTCGTGTCGGAGTGCGGCGATTCGATGGTGTGATTGTGCCTCATTTCGCAGGATGAAAATCTAAAATCTAGCACGTAACTTTATTTTATCTTTAATTTAGTTGCCATAGAGACTTATGTTTAATTTAATTATTAGACATGTTTGTTAAAATTTAGTTGCATGTTGTCTAGTGAATTAATAATTCCATTTCTTTAAATGTTAAAATTGCACTTTGATTGTAAATACTTAAACATGCAGAAAGGGAAAAAAAATGAGTAGACGTAACTTTTGGAACCAAAAGACATAACTTACCCAAGAATAAATGAATTAAATATTATTCCTTGTCAATACTTGATGAAGCATAAAATAATATAATTTTTAAGTGCTACTATTATTTCATTTTAAGTAAAGTTTGAATTAAATATTATTTCTTTCACCAACTTCACTGATGAAAGATAATGGAAATGTCTAGACTGTCAAAGTCACTTCAAGTAATAAATGCTGACTGGTAGATATATTCAACCGTGCTGGAGTAAATTGTAATATGTTCCATAGCCTTTATGGTGTAAATTGTAATGTGTTCGGATTTCTTAAATAAATAAGGCAGCTTTTGGTACTGTTATTTTATTTAGGACAGTGTCCCACACATTGAAGAACCAGAAAAGCATATTATACTTTCAAGCATGTATCAAAAAAAAAATGTAGAATACATGTTCCGTCAATTGTAATGAATGAATAAATGGAACATATTTTAAATGTTTTACCCTTTCACTTGTCACTAATTTATTGTGATAACATTTTTATAAACTCATTCTTTTTTTTTTTTTTTTAAAAAGGAATGATTTGTTAGTGACATCAATTTTACAAAAAGATTTGGGTCGTTACAGTTTGGTATCAGAGCGTAGGTTTAATTTCCTGTAGACTCACGTGTATTTTCATAATTTGGTTTTAAAAAAAAATGACGTGAACAGTGATGTTCACTGTTCACGTGAACAGTTTAAATTAAATTAAATTAAAAGTGTGATTGTTTAAATAGTTTATGTGTGTATATATTTATATACTTAATAGAATTACCTTTCTTAGAATAAATTTTATGTTTAGCCACAATAATCACTAAATTACTTAGTTACGAGATTTTTTTTTCAAATGTGTGAAATTTTATAATATTCCATGCACTAGTATATGGTATTTTCTAGTAGCTAAAATCTCGATGTAATTCCCCATGAAAAAAAAATAAAAATAAATAAATAAATAAATAATAATAAATACTAAATAAATAAATTTTGAAGATATATTTATATATATATATAAACACTGAATTTTATACATTTTAAATATTAGGTGTAATAAAATGTTTATTTGTCTCATTGCGTAGTATTTGTTAAAGGTTAACATTTTCTGAAGATTTATGAATTTAACAATAATGACAATTTAAAATTATAAAATATATGAATGGTCTTTGGCACTCAACGACCACCAATCGACCACCCTCCGACGACTCTAAGGTATGTAAAAAGGGTAAGAACGTGAATACACTTGGGTGTTTTGCATAACTTATATATTTTAAATTTCCTACTTCTATATTTTTAAGACATGCACTTTGTTTCTCCACTAAATTGAAATATTTATTATGATAAAAAAAAAAGTATAACGTGATAGACCTAGTGCTAAAATGTGATCGTAACTTCATATTAAATTTTAGGAAATGGCACAATCTACTCATACGAATTTGATGCGTGATTTACTATGAGCGATACAAGAGTTGAGTAGGCAAAATCAAGCACCTCCACCACAAAATGCACCGCCACAGCAGAATGCACTGCATTTTGTCCCTGGAGTTGTCTCAGTGGTTGAGCAGTTTCGTAGGTATAAGCCTTCCACTTTCGACGGTAATTCTGAACCACTGGTTGTGGAAGAGTGGATAAGAGGTCTGGCGCGCATATTTCGACACATTGCTTGTACGGATGCACAGAAAGTGTTGTGTGCGGAATTTATGTTGATTAGAGCAGCTGGTCACTGGTGGGAATCTGTTTCACGTATAAGGACGGAAGAGCAACAACGTAATCTGACTTGGGAGCAGTTTAAAGACGAAATGATGGCAAAATATTTCCCACATGCTTTGAGGGACTTCAAAGAATCAGAATTTCTGCAGCTCAGACAGGGGAAAATGTAACTTATTGATTACGAAAGGCAATTTGAGCAACTCTCAAGGTATGTCCCGCACTTGGTAGATACGTCACTGATGAAAGATAATGGAAATGTCTAGACTGTCAAAGTCACTTCAAGTAATAAATGCTGACTGGTAGATATATTCAACCGTGCTGGAGTAAATTGTAATATGTTCCATAGCCTTTATGGTGTAAATTGTAATGTGTTCGGATTTCTTAAATAAATAAGGCAGCTTTTGGTACTGTTATTTTATTTACGGCATGATCATTATGTCCCATCGTTTCACCTCATATCATGAAATGTTGGAGAGGGCTCACGCTATTTCGTATCAGAGGACCTCATTTGAACAGTATGCCCAGCAGAGCAAAGAGTCGTTTGGAAAAAGAAAGTGAAGTGATCAAAGCAAAAATAGACGCAACTGGCAGAATAAAAGGCCAAGCACAGGAATTCGCATTAGTGGGACGAGTGGAAGTATTACACCCTATTCTAAGTGTAATAAACTCCACAAAGGTGAATTCTTGCTCGGGAAGAACGTGTGCTTTAGGTGTGGTAAGCCCGGACACATCATTCTCAACTGTCCAGAGCCTCCAAAGAAGAAGGATGATGATCAAGACCAAAACAAGAAAGGAAAGGCCTGCGAAAACTCAGCATGAGGCGGAGCAAGATCCGAATGTGATAGCAGGTATTTATTAATTTATTTATTTTTTTACATTCCTGCTTATGTTCTTTTTACCTAGGACTAAACATCATTCGTTTCTGTCCTTTGGTTGCCAGTCTAATACTGTGATTACAAAAACAAGTATTCTGTTATTATCCAATGTGTCCGCTTACGTACTTTTTGATTCTAGGGCTACCAATTCTTTTATATCTGCATCCTTCATCGCTAGGCCCAACTTTGCATGTGTTAGAACGGATAATGAATTAGAGGTTAGCATCCCGTCAGGAAAAACTCTTTGCACAAACCAGATGACTAAATCTATGAAGTTAGAGATTGATGGAAAAATATTGGAAGCAAACTTATACCTCTTGGAAATGAAAGATTTCGATGTTATTTTAGGCATGGATTGGTTAGGATTTAATCATGCAACCATTCGATGTCATGAAAAAGAAGTGCAATTTCATAGACCAGGAGAGGAAGAGTTCCGTTTCTTTGGAGCAAAGTTCAAATCCCTACCTCGTCTTATATCAGCTCTACAAGTGAAGAAGATGTTGAGGAAAAAGTCATGCCAGGGATTCTTGGTTAACATTATCGGTTCTCAACATACAGAGACGATTATTAACGATATCAATATCGTGCGAGACTTTGCAGATGTGTTCCCAGAAGATTTACCAGGCATTCCACCAGGTAGGCAAGTGGAATTTACAATTGATTTGATTCCTGGAGCAGCACCAGTATCCAACGCCCTGTACAGAATGGCACCGAAAGAGTAACTTCATATTAAATTTTAGGAAATGGCACCACCTACTCATACGAATTTGATGCGCGATTTACTAAGAGCGGTACAAGAGTTGAGCAGGCAAAATCAAGCACCTCCACCACAAAATGCACCGCCACAACAAAATGCACCGCATTTTACCCCTGGAGCTGTCTCAGTGGTTGAGCAGTTTCGCAGGTACAAGCCTTCCACTTTCGACGGTAATTCTGAACCACTGGTTGTCGAAGAGTGGATAAGAGGCATGGAGCGCATATTTCGACACATTGCTTGTACGGATGCACAGAAAGTATTATGTGCAGAATTTATGTTGATTGGAAAAGCTGGTCACTGGTGGGAATCTGTTTCACGTATATGGACGGAAGAGTAGCAACGTAATCTGACTTGGGAGCAGTTTAAAGACGAAATGATGGCAAAATATTTCCCACATGCTTTGAGGGACTTCAAAGAATCAGAATTTCTGCAGCTCAGACAGGGGAAAATGTAACTTATTGATTACGAAAGGCAATTTGAGCAACTCTCAAGGTATGTCCCGCACTTGGTAGATACGGAAGTTAAGAAGATTAGGAGGTTCGAGAATGGACTGCGCCCTGAGATCGGCATGATCATTATGTCCCATCGTTTCACCTCATATCATGAAATGTTGGAGAGGGCTCACGCTATTTCGTATCAGAGGACCTCATTTGAACAGTATGCCCAGCAGAGCAAAGAGTCGTTTGGAAAAAGAAAGTGAAGTGATCAAAGCAAAAATAGACGCAACTGGCAGAATAAAAGGCCAAGCACAGGAATTCGCATTAGTGGGACGAGTGGAAGTATTACACCCTATTCTAAGTGTAATAAACTCCACAAAGGTGAATTCTTGCTCGGGAAGAACGTGTGCTTTAGGTGTGGTAAGCCCGGACACATCATTCTCAACTGTCCAGAGCCTCCAAAGAAGAAGGATGATGATCAAGACCAAAACAAGAAAGGAAAGGCCTGCGAAAACTCAGCATGAGGCGGAGCAAGATCCGAATGTGATAGCAGGTATTTATTAATTTATTTATTTTTTTACATTCCTGCTTATGTTCTTTTTACCTAGGACTAAACATCATTCGTTTCTGTCCTTTGGTTGCCAGTCTAATACTGTGATTACAAAAACAAGTATTCTGTTATTATCCAATGTGTCCGCTTACGTACTTTTTGATTCTAGGGCTACCAATTCTTTTATATCTGCATCCTTCATCGCTAGGCCCAACTTTGCATGTGTTAGAACGGATAATGAATTAGAGGTTAGCATCCCGTCAGGAAAAACTCTTTGCACAAACCAGATGACTAAATCTATGAAGTTAGAGATTGATGGAAAAATATTGGAAGCAAACTTATACCTCTTGGAAATGAAAGATTTCGATGTTATTTTAGGTATGGATTGGTTAGGACTTAATCATGAAACCATTCGATGTCACGAAAAAGAAGTGCAATTTCATAGACCAGGAGAGGAAGAGTTCCGTTTCGTTGGAGCAAAGTTCAAATCCCTACCTCGTCTTATATCAGCTCTACAAGTGAAGAAGATGTTGAGGAAAAAGTCATGCCAGGGATTCTTGGTTAACATTATCGGTTCTCAACATACAGAGACGATTATTAACGATATCAATATCGTGCGAGACTTTGCAGATGTGTTCCCAGAAGATTTACCAGGCATTCCACCAGGTAGGCAAGTGGAATTTACAATTGATTTGATTCCTGGAGCAGCACCAGTATCCAACGCCCTGTACAGAATGGCACCGAAAGAACTTCAAGAATTGAAATTGCAATTGGAAGAATTGCTAGAGAAAGGTTTCATTCGACCGAGTGTATCTCCTTGGGGAGCTCCTGTACTTTTTGTCAAGAAGAAGGATGGGAGTATGAGGATGTGCATTGACTACCAAGAATTGAACCATCTGACCATCAAAAATAAGTATCTGTTGCCAAGAATAGAAGATTTGTTTGACCAGTTAAGGGGTGCTTTAGTGTTTTCAAAGATCGACTTGAGGTCAGGATATCATCAATCAGGGCAAGCGATATACCGAAAACTGCTTTCAAGACTCGGTATGGGCATTATGAATTCACTATCATGCCTTTTGGTTTGACCAATGCTCCAGCTGTATTTATGGAGCTCATGAACAGAGTGTTCCATCAGTACTTAGATCAGTTTGTCATAGTATTTATTGATGACATACTCGTATACTCCAAAGATAGGAAGCAGCATGAGGAACAACTCCGAGTAGTGTTTGAGACTTTGAGGAAGGAGAAATTATATGCTAAATTCAAGAAGTGTGAATTTTGGCTTGATCGCATAGGTTTCCTTGGTCACGTGGTTACCGTCCAAAAGGAATCGATGTAGATCCTGCTAAAGTGGAAGCAATACCAAATTGGCCAAGTTCGACCAGTGTGGGTGAAGTCCGCAGTTTCTTAGGATTCGCTGGCTATTACAGAAGATTCATTGAAGGCTTTTCAACAATAGCAGGGCCGATGACTCAGTTAACAAGAAAGGGTGTGAAGTTTCAGTGGACGGAAAAATATGAAAAATGTTTTCAAGAACTTAAGCAGAGGCTAGTCTCAGCTCTTGTATTAACGATACCTGAAGGTTCAGAGGGATTTGTGATCTATAGCGATGCCTCCAAGCAGGGTTTGGGTTGTATACTGATGCAGTATGGAAAAGTGGTTGCTTATGCCTCGAGACAGTTGAAGCAATATGAACTAAACTATCCAACGCATGACTTGGAGCTTGCAGCGGTAGTTCACGCCTTAAAGATATGGCGTCATTATCTCTATGGTGGGAAGTGTGAAATTTATACAGACCACAAGAGTCTTAAATACTTCTTCACACAGAAGGAACTAAATATGAGACACAGAAGATGGCTGGAACTAGTGAAAGATTACGACTGCACGATTCATTACCATCCGGGTAAGGCTAACGTAGTTGCAGATGCCTTAAGCTGAAAGACAGGATCATAATTAACAGTTCTACCCACAGTGCAGAAACACTTGATAAGGGACTTTGAGAAATTGAGATTGAAAGTTATCACACCACCGACTCAGACTACAGCAAGAATAAGAGCGTTTATGATTCGGCCTACTCTTCGGGATCGAATCAAGGAGGCACAGAATAAGGATCCATTTCTAAAGAAGATAAAGGCTGAGGTCGGCACAAACAAATGTATAGGATTTGAAATGTCTACAGATAACGCGCTGATTTTCAAAGGAAGGTTATGTGTACCTAAAGATGAAAGTATAAGAAATGAAATACTGGAAGAGGCTCGTTCTACCCCGTATTCAGCACATCCAGGTGGCATGAAAATGTATCGAGATCTCCAAGATACATTTTGGTGGAGAAATATGAAGAGAGGAATTGGTCAGTTCATTGAAAAATGTATTATCTGTCAGCAGGTCAAGGCAGAACACCAAAGACCATCAGGACTACTGAAACCGTTGGACATTCCAGAATGGAAGTGGGAACACATAACGATGGACTTTGTGGTAGGCCTCCCAAGGACAACAAAAGGTCACAATTCTATCTGGGTAATGGTTGATCGTTTGACGAAGTCAGCCCATTTTCTACCAATCAAGGTAAACTTCAACATGGAACAGTTTGCACAGCTATACATCAAAGAGATAATCAGACTGCATGGAGTTCCAGTCACTATTGTTTCAGATAGAGATTCGAGGTTCACGTCCAAATTTTGGAAAAGTTTACAGACAGCCATGGGGACAAAACTGAAGTTTAGTACTGCTTATCATCCACAAACAGATGGGCAGTCAGAAAGAACCATTCAAACCCTTGAGGATATGTTGAGGGCATGTGTTTTGGATCTTGGAGGTAGTTGGGAGACACACCTGCCTTTAGTGGAATTTGCTTATAGCAATAGCTTCCAAGCCACTATAGGTATGGCCCCATATGAAGCTCTTTACGGTAGGAAGTGCAGATCCCCTATCTACTGGGATGAGGTCGGAGAGAATAGAATTTTGGGTCCTGAAATCATTGAACGAACAGTTGAGGCAGTTGACAAGATTAGAGCCAGAATAAAAATAGCACAAGATCAACAAAAAAGTTATGCGCGTAGTAGGAGAAAGGATTTGGAATTTAGTGTGGGTGAGAAAGTTTTCCTTAAAATAGCACCCATGAAGGGTGTATTGAGATTTGGCAAGAAGGGAAAATTGAGACCACGATTTATTGGACCTTTTGAGATCCTTGAAATAATTGGTGTTGTGGCTTACCGACTTGCCTTACCACCTGAACTTGCAGCAGTGCATAACGTATTTCATATATCGATGCTTAGAAAATATGTTCATGATCCCAATCATGTAATAAGCTATGAAACAGTGGACGTACAAAGGGACTTATCATATGAAGAAACCCCGATGATGATTTTGGACAGAAAGCTACATCAACTCAGAAACAAAGAGGTTTCCTTGGTCAATATCCAGTGGCGAAATCATGGACTTGATGAGTCAACTTGGGAGAAAGAAGAGGAGCTTAAAGCCAAGTATCCAGAGCTCATTGATTAACCAAGGTAAATTTCCAAGGACAAAAATATTTTAAGGAGGGGAGATTGTAATATTCCGACATTTCGTAGAATAGAATTTAAATTATGTATGTTATAATTTAATATTTTGAAAGTTTAGGGACTAAAGTGTATATAAAGTAAATTTAAATTTAATTTGGGTTAAAATGTAGATATTGACGGAGTGATAATAAGTATATGAATATCGGACTCGTTGGGTAGATCGTAATTAATCATGCATATTAGGCACAAGAAAAATTTGATTCAGATAATCTAAACCTAAGATATTGACGTTTAAAGAAATTGATACTTTATAATATTTTATTAAATTGGTTTGTGTCATTAAATCGGCCACGTGTGTTCACAATAAAATTGATTTGAGTTTATATATTATATAACTCCCCATTTCCAACATATAAACTAATCCAGATACTGTAACTCCCCACCTCTATGGCCACGTTTCGCGTGCATAAAGAAAGAAAAGGTTAACTGCTCACCCTATATTATTCTGATACCTAAAAGGTAGCCATGACTTTATCATCTTGTGGCATGCGTTTCCACTTTAACCACACACTCCTATATACTATATACACACACGTACTCAGCAGATTCATTTGGGTATTTGTTTTCATCGTAAATAATATACAAAAATGGTCCCATAATTTTCACCACGGCCAAGAAAAATTAGAAGATCAGGAACGTGATTTTGGAGTTCATCTTTCAAAACTTTATTCAACTTTACGAGGTAGGATATGAGGTGCAGTATTTTTTTTTATTTCCCGTTTAATTATTTTGGCTACATGTTGACGAATTTCATACTTATAAAAGTTAAAGTTATGATATGAATGCTATGATATGAATGATATGGCCATTCCGGTACAATGAAATGAAATGATATGATGTGATGTGAGCTCTTACCGGATTTAAAGTTATGCGACAGTATGGTATTCTGACACTTGTGTTAAAATTATTTTTCGGGATCGCACCATTAATCTGATATCCTACTGAGTATTCCCACGTACTCACCCCTTTTTCCCTACCTTACAGGTGAATTCGGGTCGTGTCGGAGTGCGGCGGTTCGATGGTGTGATTGTGCCTCATTTCGCGAGACGAAAATCTAAAATCTAGCACGTAACTTTATTTTATCTTTAATTTAGTTGCCATAGACACTTATGGTTAATTTAATTATTAGACATGTTTGTTAAAATTTAGTTGCATGTTGTCTAGTGAATTAATATTTCCATTTCTTTAAATGTTAAAATTGCACTTTGATTGTAAATACTTAAACATGCAGAAAGGGAAAAAAATGAGTAGACGTAACTTTTGGAACCAAAAGGCATAACTTACCCAAGAATAAATGAATTAAATATTATTCCTTGTCAATACTTGATGAAGCATAAAATAATCTAATTTTACGTGCTACTATTATTTCATTTTCAGTAAAGTTTGAATTAAATATTATTTCTTTCACCAACTTCACTGATGAAAGATAATGGAAATGTCTAGACTGTCAAAGTCACTTCAAGTAATAAATGCTTACTGGTAGATATATTCAATTGTGCTGGAGTAAATTGTAATATGTTCCATAGCCTTTATGGTGTAAATTGTAATGTGTTTGGATTTCTTAAATAAATAAGGCAGCTTTTGGTACTGTAATTTCATTTGGGACAGTGTCCCACACATTGAAGAACCAGAAAAGCATATTATACTTTCAAGCATGTATCAAAAAAAAAATGTAGAATACATGTTCCGTCAATTGTAATGAATGAATAAATGGAACATATTTTAAATATTTTACCCTTTCACTTGTCACTAATTTATTGTGATAACATTTTTATAAACTCATTCTTTTTTTTTTTTTTTAAAGGAATGATTTGTTAGTGACATCAATTTTACAAAAAGATTTGGGTCGTTACACTAAATTTGCAAAACGCTGTTTTTAAATGAATTAAAATGTAATTTGATGGTTGGAACGCAATTTGATTGTATTCATTGAGAATTAAACGCATTAGAATCACGAATTCCCAAGTAATGTTCAATTTAATCCTAATCTCACTATTTGACAACACAGTGAAATTTTGAAAAATCAATATTTCTAAATCTATCCAACACCCTCTCTCGAGCAACGTTAAACCTATTCTCATGTACCACCAGCCTATATTTCTATAGCAAATGCAAAAATACAAGAATGCATGTAGTTTTGTAAGCACTTAAAGATTAACGTAGGGTATAGCGGTATATTTTTATCCTCTATCGGACTCTATGATGGTTTATACCATGTCAAACCTATTCCACTTCTCTCGAACGCAAGAACAAGTCACCAAAGTCACACAAATCACATGAACAATAATTGTGGAGAAAATAAGTGAATATAAATCATTCAAAATAATCTAAACGTGTTATAATATCAAAATCATGAAACAAATAATTAAATATCACATCACAGGGTTCATCAATCCCCTAGTACAAAAATATTTAGCCTAACATGTATAAAATTACAGAATACATGATAATTGGAAGAATCAACATCACCGGATTAAATTATCGTGTGAAATTCCATCAATCTTCATGAAATCCTTCGTTGTTGTCGCTTCAAATTTGCTCCAAGATGTATTTTCTTGCCTCCCAATGCGTTCTCTCTCTAAATATAATAGCTCTAGTTTTTTATATCCCGTCCCAATCGAATTCCAAACGAGTTATATTGAAAATATGAAACTACTAGATCGATCCCCAAAAAATATCTATGCGACCGCATAGCACAAAGCTATGCAACTGCATAGTTAATTCAATTTCAGCCTTGGAATTCCATGCCATGGTCTGTGCGATCACATGTAGTTCTTGACTATGCGACTGCATAGTAGAGTAATCTTCCAATTTAGGCCATTTTAGTCCCCCCAAAATTATAATCTTCCATTTTGGCCTCGTTTCTTGGTTCTTTTCATTCCATCAACCAATATTAGCCCCCAATTGGTACTTAGCTCAATTAATCCCTCGATTCTTCTTTCAGGTCATCTTTTGGGTATTTGCAACTTGGTCTCTAAACTTTTGTTTTCTTCATTGTGGTCCTTTTTGTGTCTTTTCTTTTGAATTCCTCAACATCCATCAATATACCCTACAAAACAAAATTACGCAGACTTAAACCACATTCCAACTATAATTAACACAATTTAGTCATGTTATGCGGCTCAAATAAGTGTGTAAAAACATACTTATCAGTAACAATCTTACCATTTACCCCTTCTTCTTATTAGTATCAACCAAAAAAATGGCATATTAGTACAATTGTTCGAATGAAAATCAGCCCTAACATGCCAGGAAAGAAAGAGACGAGATATAGGAACCATATATAAAAACCAACTAAGAGTACATATTTTTTGGTGTATATTGGCAATTAACGTAAACAAGATGCCAAAAAAAGTATTTTTCACAAAACTTCATACTTTGTGAAGGAAAGAGAATTTTAAGACATTACTATTGAGAGTAATTTTATGAACTAAATACTTAACTATAGTGTATTTTTTAATTATTTTAGGAAAAACCCCAAGATTGAATGAGAATAGACAAAAAGAGACAATAATTGGAAAAAAAAAAAAAAGGAGTAAAGTTGGGCATATTTTGAAAGTTGTGGACCAAGAAGTTACGTTTGAAAGTTGAAGGACCACGTTGCAAAATTTAAGTGCTCAAATTGAAATAAAAATGAAAAAGGAAACAAGGACCCTGTCGCAAAAAGAGAGTTTAATTCCACTTGGACTTAAATTATGGTTCCCGATATTTTTGAAACTCTATTTTATACTTAATTTAGGTATATAAATAGAGACTTTTATTCCATGATTGAAGGAGGCTGGAAATACAATCTTGAGTCATAATTACACATCCATATATATTGAATCTTCAAGATTTGTATCTAAAAAAAAGTTGAATCCCAACTTTGAAAGCCCTCACCGCCCCGTCCCTAGAGCTTTGTGAGAGAGATAAATCGTGAGATGTGCCCCCAACAGGCCAGAGAACAAGAGCTACATGTACACTGT